AAATCTGGCTTCCAAATTCTGAATGGTAGAATATTCATTTTCTTCTAAAGGAAAAAGGAAGAAATATACTTGTAGAGTAAGTTCATTCCAGAGATCGATTCACACTTAAAATATTTATAATGCCAACTGATGATGTAAAAAAAAGTCTGGGAACAGACTTCATGATGTCATTGATGATATTTGCTAACCCAAAAAGCAGCTGTAGGATAAATAATTAGTTTCATTATGAAGGAAACCTTGAAAACATATGGCAGCTTTTCACCATCTACTTGTACAAGGGAAATAGGAAGGCAAGTTACAGCGCTGAAATAAGCTCTTAGACCAAGCATTCTAATTAACCAAGTCCTAATCCCAATAATTAAAATGGAAACTACGTTTAAAAGGTATGTAAAGACCTTTGAATCTGCAGGCATTAGCTTGTGTGAGACTGATTTTTTTAAAGGGGCTTAATGAACTCTCCTTAAGCATTTACCACAATCATCTTGCTTTATACCAAAAAAGCAAAAACTCAAACAGCAAATGATGAATTATTTCTATGGCATCTGAAAATCAGAGAGTACACAGACAATATACAAATTGTCTAATTACACTGAGAATGAAGTAATTTATCCCTTAGAATAGTAGTAATAGTTAACGTTTTATAGACATAGAGGATTGGATTGGCACAATATTATTTTTTAAATGTGCACATCTTCCATTTTACAGCACAGAAACTGACGTAAAATAAGACTTTCTAGTGGTCAGCAAAAGTGAGCTGGAGGGTTAAAAGCTCCTGGGATGCAAGAACATACTGTCTTCAGATTCTTTAAATTCAGAATATTTACTGAGGACTTAGAATGTGAATTGAGCACACAATTTCAGTTAAAGCTCTCTCTGGTTGACAGTCCATGTAAGCTGTCATTAGAGATCACTGAAGTAAGCCTTTCTTTAATATATCCACATGAAATCTTGCTGAAAATAAAACCTACAGTCCAATTGCCTTGAAATTTTAGCAACTTCAATATGTCCTTGATCACTTTTTTTCTCATGTATTATCAGAATTATAAGGCAAGATATGTTTGGCAGATACTTCAAAGAGGAACAGCACAAATACCTGAAATCGAATTGCTTTCTGCTCTATTTTAAAGAATAATTATTTGATAAGAAAGACTCCAATTAACCATTTCATTATACATTTTAGCATAGGGTAATTTTCATGATTTCAAGAACTTCTTTAAAGTATGAAGTAGAAATTTAACCATACATATGGATACTCAAATATACGAAGGTCTTCTGAACATGGTCCTTAAAACAATTAGATTTGTTGACAGCAGTGCAATCTAGAATGGCACTCTATTGTCATTTGCTTGAGTGTGGCAAATTGGAATCTTCAAGAAATGAGTAACTGTTCTCTATACAGGCTGCACTGGTTTGATCTTCAACTTTCCCGGAAACATCGTATGCTGATCAATAGTGAAAGTACCCACTGGGTCTTCAAAGACACAAATATAAGTGGTATTTTTTTGGAATTAATTGTATTTGGAACATGCTGAGTAGGTACCCTCTGGTACTACAAGCATACGGTCATTTTCACATAGTGCTATTTCTGTAAAATCTACATTCTTTTCATCATCGGAATCCGCTTCCTTAAAGATAGCTGGACCAAGTCAGGAAATAACTGCTATTTAATATCTTTTTCTACTTGAAGAAATAGGTTTCCTAAAACCACAACAACTGCTTATCTTATTTCAGGACTTTGTGCCAGAAGCAACTGAATATTGATCAGCATCTCAAATATTTTATTTAAATACCTACTTTTATATAAAAATAATACAACTTTTAAATATTATACTCCAGTATCGTTTGATGATGACCTTTTACCTGAGGACATCAGATGGTATCGGGATAGTGAAGAAGCACTTTAGTCAGGGCAGAACAACTGCTTTTTTAATGCAATGAGATGCATTCACCCAAATACCATTTACCAATTCCTGCACATGTTCTTTTCAACTCCTTCTTCCATTCGCATCAGCAACTATTTAAAGTCTTTCTTTTCAGAATACCCTTCACACTTCTCTCATTCTCAGCAGGCCACTCTGTCCTCCAGCTGAGGCCATCAGGTAAAATCCTTCAACTTATAGGTCCACTCCACTAGCTATAAACCCATGAATTCCTTTCCTTCTTTCCTCCCAGATCTTACTCTCTTCTTCAAGGCCAGATCTGTCAAAATGGCTGGTCATCTCACACCCTGACTGGAGCTGCCCAGCAGAATTCAGTGTCCCTCCAGGCTCCTAAGTGGACACCCCCCACACCTGGCATAGCAAGTCTCACATCTTATGACACAGATCCCTCCCCTCGACTTCGCCTACTCATCTTTGTAGATTAGGCATCTCTCACTAAGCCCAGCAAGCAGAGATACTCAACAAATACGTATTGAACTGAAACTGCTTACTTTTAAGCATGAGTTATTTTCAATAGCTTGAACCAGAACTCAGCTTGTCCCAGATTGTCTGCAGAACAGCATATGATTTCTGCTCCACTTTATTTTTTCAACCCATAAGTGACCCAAAAAAGAGGGGTGAGAAATTTCCAGTGACTAGAATTGCCAGATAAAATATAGACTACCCAATCAAAACCGAATTTCAGAGAAACAACAAATCACTGTTTGTAGTATAAGCATGTCCTAAATAGTGCACCGGACATACTTATACCAAAAGCAATGATTTTTCGTTTCTCTGAAATTCAAATTTAACTGGAAAGCCTGTATTTTTATTTGCTAAATCTGACAACGCTACCAGTGACTGTCTGAAAACTCTCAGAGAACTCAAGGAATGCTTCTTTAGAACACCTGGAGGTCTAGCCAAGCTCTGCAAACTTCCCAATTGACCAGATTTTTTGTCTGTTAATACACCTGGGGTGATTTGTGAGCATCTCAGTAATACGCTTTAGGAAATGGTGTTTATTACGTAAAATTTTCACTTATTTTTCTATTTCATAGAATTCCCTTCTAATACTATTATCAATAATTTTAGCACAAAGAATACTGTAATGTTGCTCAAAATCTCTTGGAAAGCTGATATTCATAGAGTTATTACCATGCCTAAGTTAATTCCGAGCTACATGTATTAGTAATTAACAATCTTTGAAAATTTCATATTTTCAACTAAACCAGCAAAACACAATAAGGGAAATAAATGTCTTCCATTTTGGGATTTCTCTTCGTTAATCAAGCACAGTGAGACATACTGTCCTCACTAACAGGCTGGGGAGAAGCAGCCTGGCAGGCGGAGGTGGAGCCTGTGATGTAACTGCAGTGGGTCTTTGTTGGAAAAGCCTTTCCTAAATGTGAAACATCTGTAAATTGATGCTTCAGCTTCACCGTGTATGCACTGGCAAGAGAAAAGAGTTGCCGCTTTTGGCATTGTGTGTATCTTGAAGGCTTGAAATCTTAATCAACAGAAGAATTCCTCACAGGTCGTTTAGAGACATACCTGTCTCAGGAATGGAAGAAAAAGCGGGTTTCTTTTGCAAAGGAGTACCATTTTAGAGTGGTAACTGCTGTCTGTGGCTGTTTACTGATTAATGGTGATGGTGCAATGAAAGTTATAACCCAAAGTCTAAGGAAAAATGCCCTACAGCTTGTTCCAATCCTGGAAGTTCTTTACATTAATGCTCTCTTCCTTCAGTGCTCCTGAGAGGAATTACAGAAAAGATATTAATTTCTTATTCCCAGGAGAGAATTAGGGAGAGATAAAAACCTCCCAATGTAGAGGGATACAACACTGTGCCTTCCTCCAAATTTGAACTAGACTGATCCTCAGAGACAACTTCTAGGGAGAGAACGACTACGTCCTCTGTAACTACCTCGTTTAATAGGACGATAATGAATTAAGATGTTTATCCCAACGCAAGCACACTACCTGTTTTCCACCATATTGGCAGCCCCAGTTAAGGACCGTTAAGCTACGGGCACAACACGCACACTGCAGAGATGCAGAACAATGCCTGGATGCCTGCCCAAAACTGGTCTCTCCAAATGACGGACTCAATTTATGGTTCCAATCTAAAGCTCATCCGGAGTTAGCAGCGTCATTTTCCTAGTTGCTGTGGGAAACGGATGAAATTTGGAAATCTCAAGGCACGGAGCTTCCACCTGCCTGTTCAGAACTGAAAGGCTGACAAACATATTCATTAAACTTGATCTGAAGCAAGTGAGCCTGCGAGGTCATTCCTGAAATATTCATAAGATGTGTTACCGGACTCGCCACTTAGAGGCTGAGCAGAAAGACGGTGAGTAGGAGCAGCCCGCACCCACAGTTGGAGCAAAGGCGCTCACAACAGCACACCCCCCACCACAACACTCCACTGTTCTGCCTTTAACAGCTCTGTTGGCCGTCGCTCCCCACTCGTCCGTTCAATTCCACCTGCCCAGGAAAGAGAGATGCTCTAATAAGTGAGGAGTGTCCCAGCAGTTGGAAGAGGCACCAGGCGCCAGTCCCTCAGTTCCTCCGGGCTCACAGCACAGATGACCCCCAGCCCCGTGGCCCCGCCAACCCGTAGCCCTGAACTGCCTCAGGGGCCGAAACCCACGGGGCAGGGGGACCCCAGGATCCAGACTGGCCACTCGCCCGACCCAGGCGGCCCTTCTCCACCTCCTATTTTGGCCTGTGCCAGGGACGCCTCCTCCAGAGCCCTCGCGTGCAGTCGCTAGGTGACCCTGGCCGAGATACAAACAGCGTCTCGCGCTGACCAGCAGCCTCGCGGTTGTTAATATTGGGAGCAGGAGGAGGAAAGGATTACGGTCCTAGGTGACTCCTAAGCCCCGACATCGAGGCAGAGCGCACTTTCATTCACGTCCCCTCTCTGCCCGCAACCCTTATATTTCTGCTGCGCCCCAGTCGCAGCGCATCTCGCACAGAGCCTCGCGACCTCGCCGCCACCTGTCTCCTCTCCAAGGGCATTCGCCCCTCGCCCCTCGCCCCTCCGCTCCTCCAGGGTCGGCCCCAGGCGCCCCTGCTCACCTGCACTCCGGCGGCCGCAGAGAGCTCAGCAGGTGCTCGCACGCGGCAGTCGGGTCTCCATTTCCGCCTTCCCCAGGCGCTCCGGCTCCGCGCTGCGCGGCGGCGATTGACGCGGTCCGTCCCCGGTGCCGAGGCTGGACCGGGGTGTCCGCGGCTGCCGCACTGGCTGCGGGCGCGGGAGGGGCGGGGGCGGGGCGGGAATCTGGGTCGCGTGGAGCGGAGCAAGCCGGGATGCACCCGGGGCGGCCCGCGGCGAGGAGGCGACCGAGAGCAGCCCGGGGAGGGCGTGCAGAGGTTTCCCTGGGAGCGCGACGCGGGCGGCGACTGAGCATGCCCAGTCCGCGAGCCGGGGGCGCGGGCGCGGTGCCGGGGGAGGGAGCGCAGCCCCCTGAGCGGGCGTCTGGGGGTGGGGAAAGGGTTAAATCTGCGGACCCGGTTGCGGTGGGCAGAGAGCCGGCGGTTGGCCGCAGTGGCCCAGTATAATTGCGCCTGGATGGACCCCTCAGAGGAGCCGGGTACTGGAAGATGATGAACCTCAGGAGACCTGTGAATGGGATTCGCAGAGTCCCGGAATGAGTGGGTACGGTGTGTTCCTCGCTGCCTCCCGGGAGAATTGTCCAGATGTCAAAGTTTGTCTTTAGCTCAGCTCCAACCTCTGCGGTCTCACTGAGTGGTTTCCTCAATCTAGACACCCACCCCTCAACTGCTTTCCTGTGCCTTGGGACCTCCCCCGCAGGGGTGCCCAGGCAGCCCCCGCCTTTCGCGACTCCTGGACCGGTCGGGTCAAGTTCTCAAAAAGCCAGCTCTTTAATTAGGTGTAATTGATAGATCGTGTCAGTCTACCCAGGTCACCTATCTGCATTTCAACCAGGGCTTCAGAAACAAACAACTTAACCCCGGGGTTAATTATAATGGATGAATTATAGACACCGTGGTCTGGGGCTATGTGGGGAACATTTCTTCACAGTGCAATACGACTGGCCCAGAACTCACTCACACACACACGCACACACACACTCGGAAGCCCGTGCCTGTCTTTGTTTCTTCGGTATTGTATTTCATGTTTGATGAAGAACGTTTTCTCCATATCTAATCAAAAAGTTTCTTACGTTAGAGGCGGCATAGTGTCAGGGAAAGAGGATGAGCTTCGAGGTGGGCCGTGATTTCAGTTTCCACCCCAAGAGATTTCCTAGCCCTTCTGCACCTCTGTTTCCTCGTCTGTAAGATTGAGGGAGGTGATCCCTCTCTCTCTGGACTGCTGTGAGCATTAAATGAGGCTATGACCGCAAAGCACCTGTTACATAGTAGATGTTCTCTTAATAAAAAATCTCTGCAAGTTCCACCTCCACTGTTCTGTTTTTATGAAAGGTTGGGTTAGTGATAATCCTTAAATGGTGAACATTTAGGGTTTTCCCTCTTCACATTAAATAAACTTAAGCTTTGATCTTTCTAAATTTTATCATTGTTAAACATTAACCACTATTACCTTTTCTTTCAACTCTGCGGTTTCTTCATACTTCCTTGAATAAACCTGTTGGAAAAAGCTAGATCAAGGCCATATATAGGATCTATTTGGAGGGAAAAGCTTTTCAGGAGAGATTCACTATAGGCGGGTTTATGCACATAACAAAAGAGTTTCACTCCATAGTCTTTTAAAAGTAATTTTGGGCCCGGCCCTGTGGCCAAGTGGCACCGGTTTGGATCCTAGGCACGAACCTAGCACCGCTCATCAAGCTATGCTGAGGTGGTGTCTCACATAGCAGAACTAGAAGGACCTAAAATTAGAATCTACAACTATGTACTGGGGTGCTTTGGGGAGAAGAAAAACAAGAGGAAGATTAGCAACAGATGTTAGCTGAGGGCCAATCTTTAAAAAAAAAGAAACAAAAAAATGTAATTTAATTTACTTGCGTTCCCCTGTGGTCTTCGTTTCACAAGTATTCCATAAAGTAAGGTATGCTTGTATGGAAGGAAATTTACTTTCCACTAATACTGTCCACTATTTAAAGTATCACTGTTAAAAAAATAAACCTTTCGTTACTCCCAAACATACCATGTTCCTCATAACACTGCCTTTATTTATGGTGTTCCATCCTTTCTGGAACACTTTTCTCTTTCCACTGCACTTCACAAAGTTCTACCCACACTTCAAGCTTAAATACCACCTTCTTCCTGAAGGCTTCCCCAGACTCCAAGGCTGATGCTGTGCTGTCATTGCATGAGTGCATACTTCTGTCACAGCACTGTTTAAGTAATGTAAAACAATTTTCTGAGCAACTATTATGTGCAGGCACTGTTCTAAGTGCTGGGAAAACAATGATGAACAAGACAGACAAGGTCGTCGCCCTCATGGAACTTAGAGTCTAGTTTGAAGAAGATAGGCAATAAACACTTTAACAATAAAGAATCACCAAGGACACAAGTCAAGCATTTTTTTGTCTTTGTGCTATTCATCAAATTAATCTATACGGTCTTGATTCCTCCTTCCAAAAACATCAATAAAAATATTACTATTGGCCATAGGCTAACCAAACTACGTGGATGTGGATCCCTGCCAGTTTGTTGCTGAACCGATAGTTTTTACCCCTTTCATTTGACTCTCTCAGCTAGAATGGTCCTAATCCCAAATGACTCTGGGTAGGTACCTACAATCCCATATGATGAATGGAAGGTGATGGGGACAAGGCCAGAGAGTTTAATCCCCACGCTAAATTATATCCTGTCTCTAATCTCAAGGAACAGTGTTTCTCCAATGGCTGGATTCAGCTGATTCCCAGATCTCCTGCATCCCAAACATCTCTTCCAGGGTCACACACCACTCCCATCCCTCACCTTCTCACCACCTTTGGCCATTATTTATGTTAATAGTTATCCTCTGTTGTTTATCATTTGACTGTTTGGACCTACATATTGTCTGAAAGACTCAAGATTTTCTCTCTGATTGTCTTATTGTCTGAGTGTGAGACGGACTTGGCATCACTTAGAACCAACTTTCTAAAGCATATTTGCACACATGTTTTCCATAGCAATTAGTGACAGCTTTGCTGCTATTTATTGTTTGACTCTGGGATGGGATTTCCTTCTTCCTTGAATTACAGAATTTAGCAGATGACCTGTATGCAATAGATCCTCAATAAAAGATTGTGAAATGAATGAATGAATATATACAGGTTCTCAACTCTTCTTACTTCCTCAGGATATAGTTCTTTTCTAGTTGGCCTTCCTATTAACCCAAGGATTTGGCTCAGTTTTGTCTTTTCCTAGTCTACTAATTTCTCTCTAGCCATAAATCCACAGATTTCTACACTTCAGGGTCCACAGAGCATTGTGGGAGAAAATCTTAGCCATAATTCATTATAAATTTGTGTGTTTTTGCTAAGGCTACACATATCACCTATAAATCAATATCCCTATTAATTCCTCCAATCCACAATAACTATCTTTAAAACTTTTTCTCCTTTCCACCTCCTCCACCCACCAAGTTTTGGACAATGTACATTTGGCTCTCTCCACTGCACCAGAAAAGAGAGACCATCAAGGGTCACCACTCTAGAAATTAGCTCATTGTTGTAAATATATCCTCCTCTTCAATCTCAGCAGAGTAGATATTATCTTTATTCTTGATGCTAGTCTGTACCAATAGACTATTCTCTTCCATCTTTATTCCCTCTCTTCTGGCTAGTACCAACTTTTCTCATTCTCTTATCTCTCTCAACCACCTTCCAACTTCTAGTAAACATACCTAGAGATTTTTAAGAAACCTGACTTGATTCCAATTCCCTTTTAAGATGTCTAAAAATTAACTATGTAGCGTAAAGTTCTCAGGGGTCCTTTAAAGAAAACTCATTGGTCCTTTCCCATCTCCAGATATTTCTTTTGTGCTTCCTCATGGCTACAGTTACGTCTGCCAAGTTTGTAAGTACACAAAGATGTATGACCTCATGCTCTGCTTACCGAAGCAGCTTTCCTAAATAACCCCGTCATCAAACATCTTTTGTCTTTTAGAGTACTAGGTACTGTTCAAGAAAAACTACTCTGATATGCAGCTTTGTCACATACAAACAAATAAAGCATTTCTCATCAGTTAATAAACACTGGAAAAATACAGGTAATAGACAATCTAATAGGATGACATGCAGAGAAGTTTATACAGTTTCAGGTAATAGACTTTTTGGGGACTAGTATATCTTTGGATAATCCAGGAAGTCTTCATGGGCTTCCAAACAGGCAGGGTTGCAAGCCCAGGTAGTTTGGAAACAGTTAGTTGTTTGGATGAAGGAATCAAAGTGTCTGGTGACATTTGCTACAGCAATGTTACATAATGTTAAAGCGTCAGCCTGGAAGTTACCGGACCTGGGCTTAACTTCTTTCAATTTTGCGTCTAAAGTGAGGATGATAATAACGTGTACCTCATAGTGTTGCGTGCAGGATTAAATTAATGATGTGTAAAGTACTCAATACAGTGGCTGGCCCACAGTGCTCAATAAAAGTTAGCAATGTATCCAGCTGCATTATTTCTGGATAAAAAGCTTGTTTAATAGATTACCATGAGATCAACAACCAGAGGGGGTAGTTGAAGAAAATGAGATCACCTAATGTAGCATTTAGAAGTAATGAGTGCAGAAGCCACAGAGGAGGAAGTTTTGTCTCTAAAGCTGCCCTAATTACAGCAGTGGAACTGAGGAGGAAGGGAAGACTTAGGAGATGCTGTGCTCTGTCATCTACTTAGACTCCACATTGGCTCATTACAAATGACATGGAATTTGAGCCTTTTCCAGACAGGCGGATATGCTGGCTCGCTCAGGAGATCTCTCCCGGAACATCATCCTTAGGAATTTCTTTGAATACAAACTTACCCACCCAGAGGCTTCTTTGTTTAGCTAAGTTGGATTGAGCAATGGGCAAGTAGGCATTTCCTGCCTGGATTATTTTGTGGGTGGGGCGGTGGCCCATTTATTTATTTTTAATCTACCTCTGACTTTAAGTGTTGTGATTTGAAGAGTTGGTTGTAGGAGATGTATGCATTGTATGTATTGGCTTCACAATGAAGCTAGAAGGAGACCTCTGGGCTTAAAATGTATTAGGCCTTGTCTCATTTTCTTTAATTGTTATGTAAAGTCTGGAAATTAATATAAGGCCACTCTGTTTTCCAATAGAATGGATT